CAGCATAAACCGAACGGCTGTCAGTTCCCGCGCTCCACTGGGGCGCTTGCTCCTCCGGTGCAGTGCAGGGTCACTACTCGGTTAGCGGGCCTTGCATGGCATTGCTGGGCGCTTCATCGGGTTCTTCTTTGCCATAATCCTCCAGTTCGCTCTCCCCCGCTTCTGCATGCTTAATTTTTCTTCCCGCCGCTTCGGTAAATCTTCGTAAACTTTTTGGAAAATGTTGGAATGGGGTGCATCCGATACAGGTCTTGTGTTTTGCGCCAGCTGAGCAGGGACCAGGCGAATGCCTCTGTGTGTGTGTGTGTGTGTGTGTGTGTGTGGAGGGGGGCTTTTCTGTTCAAAATTTCCAGTTTAGAATGAAGTCTTTTTTATCGAGGTGATAAGTATTTAGTTCTTTGAACTTACTTCTTTTTATATCTCGTCTCCCCTTTAAAGATCAATATTACCGGAAACACTGATTTCGTCCGTAGAGGCTAGTGGCTTAATTGCTGGAGTCTGTTTTGTATATGTAAAAGCAGTCGGGTTACCTTGGAAGGGAATAGGTACCGAAATTAATTGGAGAAACCTTGACTGGTGCACTGGTTACACTGTCTTCAATGGGTAGAGTAACCATGGCTTTTCGTAGCCATGTATTGTCTGTCAGTAGTTAACAAGTAATTATGTAACAACTCTCCAGTTATAATGATCAACATTGGCTACACAATTTGCTCAGGGATTTGCTTTTTTTTTTTTTTTTTTTAAGATTACCTGCTACCCAGCTGTGCTTTCTGAGTTTGTCAGTTGCAGCCCACCCATCCTCTATTTCTTGAGCTAAACAAGAAGTGAGCGCATTTCAGAACTTCTTTCTGGAATCTAAAGACCCTATTTTAAAAGTTTACAGGCCCACTGACATCACAGAAAGGGCGCTGTAAAGAAGGCAAGGAGGGTTCCCTTAAGACTTCCCTTTTGATAAATGTATCTAATTCAATAATAGAGAAAAAATGTTCTGGTCCAACTGTTAATAATGTTTCTGAAAAATAAGGAGTGACAGCTTTTAGAGGTTTAGCACACTAAATATGTTTGAGCATCTTTGGAGTAATTCAAATTGAACTGGAAAAGTTTTACAGGTAGTTTTCAGCTGAGGCTTAATATAAGTTTGAGATTTTTAAAGATTTCTTTCCCATTTATTCTCCTTGACTCAGAATAAACTTGATTGTTAAGGACTGGAAACAACACATGAAGGACCAAATGTAATGAAAATTAATAATTTAAAAATTAGCGGCAGGAAATTTTTTGTTGTTGTTAATCCTCATCGCAGGTATTATTCCTCTGATTTTCAGAGAGAGTGGAAGGGAGGGGGAGAAACAGAGAAACATCAATGTGAGAGAGACACATCTATTGATTGCCTTCTGCAAGTGCCCTGAACGTGGCCCTTGACCAGGAATCGAACCCAAGACCCTTAGGTGCTTGGGCTAACGCTCTATCCACTGAGCAAAACTGGCTAGGGCAGTGGCAGGAAATTTTTAGAGTTTTGTTTGGGACAGGTACATTGATTGGCTGATCTTTGTCATCCTGTAATTCATGTCTTGCTACATCTTTCTAGAGGGCAGCATAATTGATAGCATTCCCAGTTGAGGTATGGTGGCCTGGGATGCCATTCATTAGAGAGTGTGTTGTACTCCACAGGACTTTATCATATATTGTGCTGTTAATACTTTGCTCTCTGGAAACATAGACTGACCATTTATTTCTCAGATCGATACTCATTTAGGATTGGGGCCTCTATGATTCTGGAAAAAATAATTTGGGATTTTAGGATCTTGCAACAGTTTATGAAATTCTAAAACTGGAAGTGACCTTAGAGTCTACTTTTGTGGTAACTTTCTTTTGACAAAGTGAAACTGAAGCCCAGAAAAGGGGACTGGACTTAATCAAGGTGTGTGGTAGATAAGCAGAGGAGTTGGACCACCAAACCAGTATTTATGTCAACCAATACTGTGTTAAGGATGATTTGTGCTAAATTGTTGTACTGATGTTGTGCCCTTCCCCTCAAAGCAGCCACATTTTATCTCCCTGGAGCAGAGTCAGAGTTATGTGTGACTATAGTCAAATTTGAGTACAGTATGGAACAAACAGGTGCTTGGCTGTTCTTGGGTGGTGGTGTGGTGGTCTGGTGAGCAGTGTTTTCTACAAGCTTCAGTGATTTATGTATTGTCTCAGAATTTATACCCTATCTCTGTATCACCTGTTCTTTTATCCTAATGTTTCCTTTAAATTATCTTTTAAGAAACTTTTTATGTTTCATGTATACACATAAAATGTAAAATTTATTTCATGTCTATAATTTAAATTTTTTATTTACTTAATATTACATATGCACACATGACTATAAGGATTTAAACAAGACGATAATATTAGAACTTAAAAGTTTGCCCTGACAAGTGCATTCAGTGGTTAGAGCACCACAGCTTGTGCACCAAATGGTTGCTGGTTCGATTCCTGGTCTAGGGCATGTGCCTGGGTTCAATCCCCACCCCAGGTTGGGGCATGTTCAGGTGGCAGCCAATGGATGTGTTTCTCACATGATATTTCTCTCTTTTTCTCCCTCTCCCTCCTCATTTCTCTTCTTTTCCTCTCTCCCCCTCCCTCTCTTTCTAAAAATCAATGGAAAAAATATCTGCTGGTGAGGATTAAGAATAACAACAAAAAAGGCCATCTTTGTGTGTCCTGCCTTGTGGGAAATGCTGATTAATGGAGGAAGTGTGGACTTCCCATTTGTACAGACCTGGACATGAATTCTGGTTCAGCCTCTTTGCAGTTGTGTGGCCTTGGGCAAGGTGCATAACTTCTCATTTGTAAATTAGTATAATGGTGCTTTTCAGAGAAATTCGGGAACGTGGTGCTAAATTAGCATTACATTTGTGTGAGAAAACCTCTCCTGGTAGAAAGTATTCTTATTACTGTAGCTGTGAGTTTTAATTGTGTAAGTTTGACTATCATTGTTTTACTTTATGTCTTATTTGTAGAGAACTTGTAGACCACTCTCCCTTATTCCGACCTGCTCCCCAGTCTTTGATGTGTTAGAATCTTTAGACAAAGACACTGTTCCAAGTGTTAGTACCTTTTGGTACAAAATGGTGCAAATGAGTTTAGCTACTTTCCCCTGGAAGTTTTGTTCTAATCGTGGTTCCCAGCATAGTCTTGTTTTCTGTCAGCTGTGCATGGTTTATAGCAGAGTAGTATTCTATTCCTCAGTCTTTAAATATCCACAGCTCCCTCCTGCATGCACTTGGCTAAACTGGGGCCCTGGGGAGCAGTTCTTGTTTTGTCCCATGAGGCTATTCTTTGAACTTGTCTGGGCAGCAGAGATTTTTGACTCTGGGTGTGGGTCTCAACTGGGCACTTTGGGGACTCATGCAAAGCTGTTAATTTGGGGTGCAGCCACTATCCTTCAGTCTTTCGGTATTTCACTTGGTCTGGTGCCTGTGGCGATGCAGTGCCAGGAAGTGAGGTCTGGAAGTTGCTGGGTTGGCTGGGTACTAAGTAGGGCAAGATGAGGATGAACACAGTCCTAGGATTTTAGTTAAACCAGTTAGCAGGGTTTCCCATGGGGTGCGTGCACCTAGACATGAGGGCAAAGCAGACATGGAAGAATGGAGCTAGTAGAAGATGGAAACTCCAAGAATTGTGATGTATGTAATGAGCTCTGAACCCTACTTCTGAGGCTTCTTGACAGACGAGAAAGGAATTGGAGAAGTTGGAGGGACCCATGAGAAGAGTGGCATGATGAAGAGTTCTCTTCAGTAGTGTTCTCCCAGCGGCGCTGCAAGGAGCTGGCTGACTCAGCCTGAAGTCTGAGGGGAAAGCCAGAGGGAGAGGCCTGCCTCCTACACATTCCTCCCTGAGAAGGGAAGTGGAAACACTGACTTTTAAATGTCTGTAGATAATTTCTGAAGCTGGGTGATGGCCACAGCAGAGCTCATTATACCAACCTTCAACCTATTTCTCTATGTTTTGGGAAATTTACATAATAAAGAAAAATGTCTTTATATTGCAAAATAGCATGACTTCTTAAAAAATATACAGGGTGGGGCAAAAGTATGTTTACAGTTGTTTGCATGGAAAATAATAAAATAATTAGTAAATGATAGTTCAAGAATAAACTCTGTTTCACGTACTCAAAGCTGTAAACCTACTTTTGCCCCACCCTGTGTGTCTAATATTCTGAAAAGATTATTACCCACATTCAAACAGTTGTTATCTCTTGAGGATGAGATTAAGGGTGATTTTTCTTTTTTTGTACTAATCTGTATTCTAAGCTGTAACAATAACCATGTACTACTACTGTCATAGAAGAATATACCTTATAGAATAATTATTAGGTAACTTTGACTGAGTTTATAGGAATGGGTCTTTGTTATTGGTTCCTAACCAAACTAGAGCCCTTTAGCTGATAGGTAGGCCGAGGGATATTATAGGATGTAGATACAGACACTTATACACCTGATGCTGCAAACTGTGGTAGGGTTGGGGTGGGGGCTCTCATGTGAGCACTTCAGCTCTGCCACATGTGCTGTGTGATTTGGGGTGCTGTCTTTTCCCTCACCTATGAGCTGGGAGAATACCACCGAATCATCTAGAGTGTTTTAAATATGAAGGAGCATTGTAAACTTAAATTATTACCAAGTGCAAGGTATACATTCAGTGGTGTGCTTGTACCTGATGAGCATAAAAATTTCAGGAATTTTGTGAGCTGGTTAATACTATGTTGGTAGTTTGAAATCTAGCACAATGGGAATATTTACACCAAGGA